TATAGGGAATGATTAGTTACAAGTAAATAATTAAAAAGGGGTCCTCCCCCCCCCCACACACACACAAAAGAAAGTTTCCTGGAAAAAGACATGAATCAGATCCAAAAGGCCCCTTGGATGAGGAATGTTCATACTTCCTGTAGAGAAATTTTCTGTCAAAAATATCTACTTTATCTATAAAGCTACTGTGCTTATTTTATGAAATGGGGGCCAGAGGAATGCCTAAATAGCACCTCTCTCATAAGACATAAAAAGGGCACTAAAATATGATGAGATCCAGAAGGCACTGAAGTTAAAAAAAAAAAAAAACACTAAGCAAACAAAGCAAGTGATGTGGAAGAGAGAAGAATGTACATTCTTATTTCCTGTGAAGCTGCAGGAAACTCATTACAAGAATTTTGGGAGACAGAACCTGTTGGACAAAATTGAGCACAGTTCCATAGGGGATTGTAATCATCCTCCCTCAGGAACAGATAGAGAAATGTGGCCTAATGTTCAGGATGGTGGTGGTGGTGCCTTTGAGTATCAGTGATCCGGTAACCAAGGCTCTCAGTGGTCCAAGTAGGGTAGCATTTTCTATTCTGCCACAGTTTAGTCCAAGGCTTCCCCTTCTGGGATAGCGCATACCAAGAAAATAAAATGGGATTACTAATGTCCATATGCAGAGTAAAAGGAAATGCTTCCTTCCCTGTGTTTCTGGGATGGATTCTCCTTTCCCTCAGGGAGGGCCCTTTGTGGCAGTCAAAAAACCAAACAAAACCACCACCAATAATGTTAGGAATCATTAAAAAAAGGGATAGATGAGAGAATATCGTATGACCTCTATACAAAACCATGGTACACCCACATCTTGAATACTGTGTACAGATGTGGTCACCTCATCCCAAAAAAGATATCTTGGCATTGGAAAAGGTTCAGAGAAGGGCAACAAAAATGCTTAGGGGTTTGGAACAGGTCCTATATGAAGGGAGATTAAAAAGAGTTGGACTTTGCAGCTTAGAAAAGAGGGATGAGAGAGGTCTATAAAATCATGACTGATGTGGAAAAAGCGAATAATGAAAAAATTTACTTGGTCCCATAAGATAAGAACTAGGGGTCACCAAATGAAAATTAAGAGGTAGCAAGTTTAACACAAACAAAAGGAATTTTTTCTTCACACAGCACAGTAAGCCTGAGTAACTCCTTTCCAGGGGACGTGGCAAAGACCAGGACTTTAACAGGGTTCAAAAAAAGAGCTAGATAAGTTCATAGAACTTAGGTCCATCAATGACGGTTAGCCAGGATGGATAGGAATGGTGTTCCTAGCCTCTGTTTGTCAGAGTCTGGAAATGGACTACAGGAGAGGAATCATGTGATGACTACCTGTCCGTCCACTCCCTCTGGGCCACTGTCGGAAAACAGGATACTGAGCTAGATGACTTTTGGTATGACTCAGTATGGCCCTTATGTTTAGAGATTTTGGCCTTCCCTCTGCTCTGTGCTGCTGGAGTCATGGATTGCCAATTTGTTGCCTTGCAGGTATTTCCCAGTGTTGTCATTCCTCCACCAAAGAGCATTTGCTGCAGGTGTCTGCAGCAGGGTTGGCTGGCCCCAAAGTAATTCTGTAACTTTGTTGCCTAGCAAGTGGTTTATACAACCTACCATATCACAAAGAGGATAAGTCTGAAGACTAGTAAGCAATGGAAAGTTGAGACATTATGTAGTTTCTCTTAACTGCCCTCTTCAGTTGAAAACAATTCTGCCTGTACTCCTTTCAGCACATTCTGGCTCATCTGCTTATTGGTTGTAGTTTTCCCACTGCCCTTCTTGTTTAAAGGCAAAAGTTTTCAGAGAACTGTGCACAACTCCAAGATCTTTCTTCAGTGGTAACATCATTTCCACCCCTACCTTTTTTAGCAAATTTAATCACAAGCAATAAAGATTCAGCAGGGCCTTCACTGATAGTTGTGCACAGACAAAACTAATTGAAAATTAGCAAACTAGTCCATTTAATGATGTATAAGAAGAAGCTCTTCCTTTCCTGTCTTGTCTCTGCA